ATATATATATATATATATATATATATATATATATATATATATTATTTTCTTTGGCCAAATTAGATGACCAAACCAAGGCAAAAAGAAGAAGAAGTTCCGGTCAGATCAAACACTTTGAGTCAAAGTAGTTGTGGGCTGATTTTTTTCTCCTCTGTGTCTGTGGCAGATGTAAGTGATCAGGGCTTTGGCCCTCAGGCTGCTGAGAGTGTGTTAATCAGGAGAACATACAGAATCATGGCCTAATTACACACCTGCCAACCCTGTGGCCATGTCTGAATTGGGCTGGCATGGACTCTCTCAAACAGAACCACACAGTAATGGCAAACACACTTGTTAAATCCTTGCCAGAGGGTTCAGGCTCTTTTTGGTAAATGACTCTTTTAAGAGGGTGAAATGACACAAGCCCTCCTCTCACATTAGCACCTCCTTCTCCACTAGCCCCACGCCTTCCTGCTGCTGTCTCATCCCTCCACACACACACACACTCTATCTATCTATCTATCTATCTATCTATCTATCTATCTATCTACCTACATACCTACCTATCTACCATCTATCTATCTATATATCTATCTATATATCTATCTATCATTACGTTGTTCTATCTATCTATCTATCTATCTATCTATCTATCTATCTATCTATCTATCTATCTATCTATCTCTCTCTCTCTCTCTCTCTCTCTGATGGGACGCTGCTGGGGAGGTATGTCTGAGCGCTCGCTGGCACTCCTGTCCTGCAGGTGTCGCTGCAGTGTGTAGTAGATAACTCACAGAGCGAGACAGAGGGCTGGACTGACTGGAACACAACGGGAGCTTGTGCTCTGCTGAGTTTTGGCGATGAGAGTGAGACAGTCAGTCTAGACGCTCTTGACAGCCTCGTCTGGAGGAGAGACACTTCCCTCTGCGGCTCTGTCCCCGTCACGACGACACATTACAAGCGTAAGCCATTTCTATCTATCATACGAAGTTATTTTATGACGGCCGAGAGTGGTTCGAGACCGTAAATGTGCTGCATTTCTGCAAGGAAAGAGCTATTGAAGTTGTTGCAGAGAGTCGCAATGGAAAAGATACTATGCGCGTTCACGCTCTTAAAGGGACAGTAGCTAATTAATCAATGCTGCGTAAATGCTCGGCTTGCACGACTGCGGCGTTCTTGCACTGAAGAAGCGTTAAATAACGGAGATGTGCGCCTATAGAAAAACTTTTTTGTCTCAAATCAAGAACATTTCCTTTTTGTTTGCTGCAAAGACAGGACTTTGGTAACCTTGTCTGTTTAAAAGTTTCTGTACAGAAGGCAAACAGTATGTATTTAGAAATATAAGCTTTTTGTGACAGTTTTTTCAGTTTTTAGTATGCAATAGAAATACCAGGATGCTGTCTCTGCATTATTTTTGTAATTTTGTTCTGAGAGAGGCAATATGGCTCTGGTATTTATGCACTTAAATGCAGTGTTATGAATGTTATGCGACAAAAAATACTGACATGCACACAAAATAAGATAAAACCTGAAGCTTTGCTTTCAAAATGTTTTTGGATCTTGCAGGGCTGTCTCTTTGGCATGTAATGGAGCTCTTACACTGTTGTTCCCTTATAGGCGTACATAACAAGCCCAGAAGACTCATAAATCATCATGTCTGAGAGAGAGAGGTGAATCAGAGACCATGGCTGCAATCTCTTTCTCTCAGTCTCACACAGATGCATAAATCAGCCCCTGCTGGTACCTTCAAATGTGGCTTGACAGTAATTCTTAGAAAAACTTCCTCTGTCTCTTTCCTGGGGTCATTTTGAATGGCTGAAGTAACATAAAGTGTCATTATGCAGAGCTCCGGGCCCCAGATTCCCTCATTTGTTCCTGGTGACGCACACAGACAAGCACCATAGAGTGCATTAGCACCCACCCACTTTTTCAACGGCTTTAGTTCCGGAAGTATTTTTTCCCCATTCATTTTTCTCATAGGGATATTTAAAAAGCCTTTGTTAAAGCGTTATAAGCCATGAGCAAAACCAACCAGATACGAGGTGAATCACAACATTACAAACTTTTATTTGTAAAAGTAAATTAAATGAAAACATGGACAAAAACATGGACAAAAAGATGAAGATACAAGACTATGTACTTACGGCTTTAATGAGGGAAAGAACTACAATCCCACGAACCATTGCAAATGACATAATTGGATAAAAAACAATGGTGAAATATAAAACTATTAATTTAAAGTCGATTATGTCTTAGATTATATTCAGAAACTGTATATTTTGAGTTTACTGCAAATTATATACATACAAATATTTAGGTATTTTGTAGGGAAAATTACTCAGTGGCTGCAATTATGTTATTTGCTTGCCCCAGCTCTCTGATTGGTGGAAATGTCTGTACAGCATCATGGGTAATGTAGTTTTTCACCACAAGCTCTGCTGTTAAACAAGATTGTTTAGCCTCAGCGAATTGATAGCCTCAGCAAAACCATATACCATTGATTAACTATCTCCTAGCTCACAACAAGTCTGTCTGTAAAGGTTTATCGGCGTATGCTATTCTGTGTCAGCTGCGTCATGCGGATACGTTGTTTTTATTCAAATCAAAGCGTATACAGTGTAGAAAATGTGACGCAGCTGACACAGAATAGCATAAGCTGTTTACATTCAGTGGATATTCTCCAAAATGGCACCAGGGTGACGCAGAGGAGACGAATTGTTGAATAAAGTCATTTTTTTTGTTTTATTTGCATACAAAAAGTATTCTCGTAGCTTCGTAAAATTACGGTTGAACCCCTGATGTCACATGGATTATTTTACCAATCTCCTTGCTACGTTTCTGGACCTTGATCGTGGTAATTACATTGCTGTCTATGGGAGGGTCAGAGAGCTCTCAGAATTCATCAAAAATATCTTAATTCGTGTTCCGAAGATGAACGAATGTCTTACGGGTTTGGAACAACATGAGGGTGAGTAATTAATGACAGAATTTTCATTTTTGGGTGAACTAACCCTTTAATTCTGCAGATTTTCACTCAAAATTGGCAAATAAATTCTGAAAAAACCAAAAAATTCCACAGATTCCCTCTTGGCCTGTGCATGAGCAAAGCCTGATCAGATCCTGCTGCTAACGCTTCACTTCTGCACAGATACAACTCTTATTAGAACGATAGTGCTGAGAGGAAATGAAAATAAAGTTGTCCTCCCTGAAGGTTTTTATTTTTTGACCTGTCTGAAGTTGGCCCTGCTGTTTATGCTGGATGCTGCAGTTTTTGGTGTTCGCTTTTGCATTCTTTTATTTTTACATCGCAGTGTTTTGACTTTATATTGTTAAATTCAAACAGCCATTTTAACACTGAAAAACAGTTGATAAAAAAATGCAGTCCAACTTGAAGCAAATATTACAGTAATCTTTTGAATCCTACCACAAATATGTTGATAGCACGACTCACTCCTTCAGTATATTTATGGAGTTCATTCATGCATAGTGTATGTACTGATACAGATATAATACAGCTGCTGGTTTACTTGTAGCAGGATTTTCTTTTTAATTGCTTGTTGAAGATGCTATGAAGTACTATTTTCTTTCTACTCTTGATGTCTTTAGTTTTGAAACAGAAAAATGTGGCGGAACATTGAAGGGCTTATTCTTTTTCTTTTTTCACCACTGCCTGTGCCTGGCAAATGCAATGTGTTTGACTTGACTTTCTGTTAATGAGTAATTACAGTCGTCATTTTTTTTACATTTCTTTTGTTTTGACTCGTCAGCTTATTAGACTGCCAGAAGTTACAAAATTTGTACTCCAAATTAATTGTAAGTTAGGCGATTTCAGAGAGGCTAGCAATAGCAAGCTAGCTTTGAAAGCATAAGATCCCACCCTCCCTGCAAATCACTCTCCGAAGCCACGCCTCCTCCAGAACACATGACCGCGCACAGGCAGAGCAGAGGCTAACCAGCGACACGATGAGAGACGGCGTTGGTGGAGGATTGAATGCAACGCTGTCAGATTATCTCATGTCTTATTCACCGGTGAGAAAACATTACAGTACAAAGCGCAGAATATTACAATAATAGGTCTGCAATAGATTAATGGAACGCAGTGATGATGGATATGTGTGAACAGGGTGCGCGGAGGTTTGCAAATACCTACCATATGAATGGACGGACATTTTATGCTCCTACACCTTCCACAGACCATATAAATACATTTAGAGCACTTAACTTAGTGATTGCTATCGGGATGTGAATAGACTTTCAACCAGCGTAACAAAAAAATGTTTTTGAACCAAATCGTCTACCCTGCCTTTAATGTAAAACTGCAAAATAAGCTTTTTTATTTTCAAGATAATAACTACATGTTGCGTACTACTGTTTGAAACATAATAAATTATGTTTTTGACCCTCGAAAACTTTGAGACTTTGGAAAACGCTGCAGACCCCGTTTTAAGTTTGAAAACTCGAGGGTGTAAACGGACCAAAACGGAGACTTTTGGAAACGATGGCGTGGCTGCCAACATTCGCTCTGCATATCCTTGACGACTGTGTAAGCAATAACATCATGCTCATTGTTGTACCTGCATGAATGGTCATGTGACATGCGTTTTTTCGGTTGTGTAGTGTAGATGGAGATCGTTTCTGAAACGCAGTGAAATCGCCAGTGTAGACAAGGATCATTTTCATTTTAATTTCATTTTAAAACAAAAACGCACTAGTGTAAACAGGGCCTCACTAAATAGTGTTTCACATTGAACAGCCCATTATTTGCTATTTCTAGTCACAGGGAAGAAGTATTAAGAGGGCATTTTTATTCTAGAGAGCATCTCATTGGAGAACAATTTGTTTATTCAGTTTGTCCCCGAATAGAAGATGATGATGATTTGTTTAATGTTCTAGAAGAGAACGACTGTAAATTTTAAGTATGCACATATGCTTAATGCCTGCATACATTTTGGAGTGCACTAGCGTATAGAGTAGATGTCTACAAAGCTAACAGACTTGTACTAAAAGCTACAAAGCTTCACTTTTGATTTCATGGGGTGTAATGTATCGAGCAGAGCCAACAAACAGGGCTTATTGTGACTCATTCGCATGCTTTCCATCAACAATCACTACATCATAATACATGTCATATATAAATCTTCACTCCTGTGGTGCTGGAGCGTATGGGAACAGGCCTGTTAGCAACAAGCCATCTATGTACTTGTTCCTAAGGTTGGGAGACTGATTAGGGACCAACAGGCTGCTGTTTTCCGTCTCCTTTCTTCTCGAACTTTATTTTTAGCCATTTCAGGCACCCTTCCCAGTCCACCCAGGGAGCCTCTCTCTGTTCTAGCTCAGGCTAAGGCTACTCCAAATTCACCGGGTTTTAGCGTCTACGGCGAGGAAGAGAGAAAGGGCCTTTCTGTCATTCTGCAGGTTTCTCTTAGCTGCCTTTGAAGAAGCTCAGTTTTATTCATGTATGCTCCATAAATATTGATCAGAGTCCTGGTTCAACGCATCTTTTTGCTTTGAAGGCTTATTGATGGATTAGTTTCGTGCAGGAATAATTCATCGGGCAGGAAGAGGGAGCGTTAGGGACAGCGCTTGATTTCGAAGTCTTTATTCTAGGCCTGAATCAAGCCTGTGAGGATGCACAACACTGGAAACAATGCCAAACTCTTTCGTCTTTAACCTGAATATTTTGAGGAAAATAATTCAGGACTTTAACTGGACAGAACTGCACCAGCAGCGCAGTTTACAGCGGTTATATTAATATCCCATGATCTGTTTATCACAGAATTTACTTTAGCAGCCAGTAAACAAAACAAAAATGGCCCGATGTCAATCACACATACAAAATACAGAGCTAGAGAAAGATCAGAATAAAATATTAGATGTTGAGAGTGTTGATGCATATCCAGCCATTGCTTGCCTACATATTTATTCATGGAGATTAAATCCTGCTCTCTCTCTTGCGGCTGTT